TATTTAGAACGCCTAGGATCTGCTTAACAGCTTTGTTCGCAGCCGCATTATAGGTGTTATCATGATCTTCAGCAGCCCAGGCCAATTCTACAGAATGTGCCCCTTTCGCCGCAATACTATCGTAGTCAAGTTTGAAATCAGCATAGAGAACAATTTCCCCAGAAGTGGCAAGCCATCAGACGCTTCATTTGAGAGAGCCTTTGAATTTCAGTAATGCAATAGAACAATCTCCAAGTATTGAATGAGATAATGAAGATCGACGCGAAATTCCTTTTTTGAATTAAGCGAGGTATGCGCACTACTGTCCAAAACGACCAATGAAACCGACCGCTCAGCGTGGCTGCAGACAGCTATAGACAAATTCACGGTAGGCATTTCTGCAGCCCAAAGGCGATGATATAGTACCACGGTAGCAACGTTGTGGAACAAACCGGAACCGTTCGGTCAATGAATCTTATCCATTTGTTATTCGATAAATTACAAATGAACAGCCGACGTTACTTTGACTAGTGCCGAAGAATCAAGGTACAGTGTGAAAGTGGCAAATTGCTCAGGCATCATACCGCAGAAAAAAGAAAGTGAAAATGCTATATCATTCGACGTGTGGTCTAACCATTGCGGTACGGCGTTCCAAAAGTAAATTATGGGGCCGCAAGAATGTGCAGCGTTAGGCCTGAATCAAAACAAAAAAGAGATTGTGTGCCATCATGAGGGCGATTGGATAATAACAGTGTATCAGGGTAAAGTATGTGACTCCTCTCCTAGGTTCCCCATTGACAGGTCCACTCCCTCGTACTTCCAGATAGTTGAGGGTGTGCGTTGCTTTGAGTTGTTTTGAATGCGTAAAACGGTTGTAATTTCGATGATTTAAAACGGCGTCAACTGCCGGAAGCTCAACCATAATTATGGAATCCAAAAGCTGGAAAATGCTCATTCAAAACAGGATTGAGTGAGGACTAGAAATGGTAGCCACTGCAGTACATTATTATTGTATAAGAGAAACACAACAAGTTCCCTCAAACTTACCGTAAAAATTAAGAACAGTGCCTGTTGAATGATTCTTCATAGGATTAGCCATAAGCTCTACCTCTACAGAAGATTAGAAAGATATCCTCCCAGCTAGTAACATCAGCAACTCTCATTGAAATCTACGTAAGGGCCAACGGTTCAAACTTTAGTCAGAAATCGGATGGTATTTGGTAGTCTAGGTCACTACCATTCCAATATTTTCGTGATTAAACCTCCACATGCTTCCTCTTCGACCTTACACGACCTTTGTTGAAAATTCACCAGGTATGGAAGATTTGCAATTTGCAGCTTATTCCGATGGACCTCAGAAAGAAAGTGAACGACAATTGCTGTACCTGTGCCCTCCGAGAATACGGCCACTGACTAACGCAAAGATTTATAGGTCTCCTATAAATCAGGGTGTTAGACTAACAATTGTTTGGAATGAGCTCATATTTAATGCGTGGCATATCCGAATAGAAGCCATAGAATACATGGCTACTATTTTATGCGTATTGTAAATAATGGAACCTTGTTGCTCACAAAGAAAAGACCTTATTGGATGCAATGCAATGACCTAGATAAATGTTGAACTGAAGAGAATGACATCATCTGTGTATGACGAAGCAACGGTGTTCAAGCAGCGTAAAGCAAAACTGCTATTTGACGAGTGGACATCGCTTAGTATGTCGTAATGAGCTCACGGTAATCCTCTCTTGGTGCTGCATGATTAAGCCATTCTTCAGTAGCTTTTGGAAAACACATAACCGTGAAAAAGAACGAGGTGGGCTATCGCATTTCCCGAGCATTTGAAGGCACAGTACACGATTAGTCTCGGGGATGTTGCCTTAGCGAGTCAGTGGAAGTTTTAGTGCGGAGTAGTGCAAAAATGGCAAGGGAAGCGCGAAAATCGGCGGATTTTATGAATTATGAGGCTTCAAAAATTTAGTAAGAGAGAGGATTTTACTATGTGTCCTTAATCGTTTGGGTGCCTACCACATAACTGCACTGCTGCTCAGCATCCTGAAGCTTCATTCGCACGGTGCAGTCTTATAAGGCCGCTTGAACACATGAGGGTGTTCACGCCTGCCAAAAAGTCCCCTGTCTGTGCGTGGGTTAATATCGGATACGTAGGAGAGTACGATATATTCATTGCGTTAATCCACCAGTAGTACGGTTGTTTTCAGTGGCGCCTGTCACTCACTATCAAGCGCGTTGCTCAGGGATCGAGTTCCGGATCGGTACTCACCTAGATTAAGGCGGAAGTCTTGAATGCATCTGAAAGTCACATTAGTTTTGATGTATACATGTCCCAAATGTCATTTTGCTTTTTTTTTATGGTGAAGATCTCAGCTCAAAATAGCAGAATCAGCAGTAGAAGGTGGCTAAATGTGATCATGGATAGAGTACCTTGGTAGGGATCGATCATATAGAAAACACATATTATGTCAAGTTTTATAGTTATCAACATTTAAATGTAGGAAGTTTCTCTTGCAGTTGTTTGGGCACTTTCTTCCATTCCAGCACGTTTTCGTATAATTCTTCTGCGGGATTATCGACAAGTACTTGGCCGCACAACACAGTGAGCAGAGTCCCGTTGTGAATCTTTCCTGAATTTCATGTATACTAAATTCACCATTTTCTGTAAATGGAAAAAGAAGGTCTTGGAAAATCGAGTCGTTTTGCATACCATGATAGGTAGCACCAGAAAATTTTTGCGATGATCAAAAATCGCTCACGGTTTACAAGAAAAACTTCAAGACTCTCTTTATTAGCATAAGTACTTCAAAACCAACCATCCGTGACCATTTGCTGGAACTTGATTTTGTTAAGCGCCCTGATGTTTGAGTACCTCACGAATTGAGCGAGCGCAATGTGATGCACCACGCCTCCGGGTGCGATTCGCTACTCATATCAAACATAAATGAGCTGTTTCTAAAGCGCATGAAAACGGTGGGCTGAAAGTATTCCGGCGCAACAACCTCGCGCAGTAACGATGGTGAAGCCTTCCCAGCGAGCCGTCACAAACCATTTCAAAAGTCGAAATCCAAGTGCGGAAGATTATGCTGTGTTGCTGGTGTGATTGAAAGGGAATCGTCTACTATAAGCTATTGCCGCATAATCAAATGATAACCTGGGAAGGTGCTGTACTTATCTAAACAATTAGAAGGTAGCGATAGACTAGAGGTGCCCAGAACTGGCCAATCCTAAGGGCATTGTCTTCTACCAGAATGCACGTATTTTTGGCTAGTCGTCAAAAATTGCTGGATTTTGGGTGGGATGACTTACCACAGCCCTCATATAGTCCGGACATATCATCACCAGACTACCTTTTGTTTTGGTTCCTGCAGATTTCTATGACTGGAAATCGTTCACTACTCTGGAAAACTGCAAAAAGGCATAGCAGAGGGTGTTTTGATTCTAAGTCTAGAACCTTCTGTGAAGGTGGGACATTGAAGTTCACAACAAGATGACGAACAGTCACTGAGCAGAATGGAGGATATGTTGTTTGATGAGTGGATTTGCTATTTTAGAAAATTTGCCTCAAAAAAGAAACTTCCCGGACAATCCATTCGCTGAAAGCGTGAGCATCTACAAAAACCTCGGAAGACGACCATACTCGCTCCAATCATTTTCGGGTTAGGTGAGGTTACGACAAAGATGGAAAAATTTTGTTGAATTCTTAATCGCTGTAAAGCAACACTTGCTATCATTTGCAATCAAGGTGCTTTATATTGAATCGGCATTACAAGGCCTAAACATTAGGTTCCTTCAGAGTAAAGGTGAGAGTGGGGGCGCAGTGGGCCTCAAAGCCTAGCTGGCCCCATATAGTACGCCTTTCAACTCAACACTGCTCCTTGTAGCCATTCAAGAGCCCAGGACCTCTTTCAGTAAGAAATGATCGGAATCAGGGGTCCGGTATATTCCCCCGAAAACAACGTCGCCCTCGGCGCACCCGATCGCGCGCATTCGTAGGGAAAGGCTTGAATTCCCAGTGGAAGGATAGGGTAGTCGCCGCGTGACCTTTGCCGCTTGCCGTAGGAATACGGGGAGAAATTTCGTTACCCGCGGAATCACTTGCATCGCAAAGTGTATTTTTACTAACAATAAGAAGTACTACGAAAGACGCGACTGAGAGAAGATGCATGAAAGTAGCACGAAGGTAATGAAGCGTGACCAGCAAATCGGAATAGATTGGGGGTCCACGCTTCCGTGAACTCAGCAAAGTGAGTATTATCCCACTAGGTCCACGGGAACAGGACTTATGAATTTCCGGTCAAACACAAACACCGACACACACACACAGACACACCAACAGACACACTTAGCGATTGATATAAAGTAGGATAGTGAGCTATCACAAAAACATTTTGATAAAAGGTGCTAGTAGAAATATACCTGCGAGGAGGTACTCTTTGCCCGCGTCGATGAGAAGGCCACAAGCGGGTGGTTCGGAGGGCGTGTAGATTTCAGCTGGCAAAGCTTTGAGATCCGACGGTTTCTAGAAATGCTTTCAAGTAACTCGGAAGCCAACAGTTTTAGGTACTGGATATCTGTTGCATTTCAAAACAATGCATTGGCACTACTTATTCGACATAGCTTTGATGCTCTTCGAACAAGAGGGAAACAAGTTTAATGAGGATAGCAAAGAAACGAGGGCTTTCCACTGCGCGTTGAAAGATGTCCCTTGAATAGCTGGATTCAGTTAACTGAAATCTCTTTGAACAATGTGATTCCGTTCATATGGTGCGGCAATAGGCCTTGGGATATGCAGCTGTGCCCGGTACACTACTGCATGATTCGCAAAAGAAAACATCTTGCTCGTAACGGATACATTACACTGCATCACCGCTCCCGTAGTTATACTTTAGTCCGAGTATTCCACCCAAAAGATCTGTGTCTGCCAATAGTGTGTCTTTTTCAACGCTTCTTCAAAAATACGGCAAGTAGCAATCAATCGGTGCCCACTTTTGCTTTAGTTTTGGAATCCCACGAATTAGTCTTGCTGAGCTTTACTTGTCTATCACACAGGCCAATTCATAAAGTTCATCGTGTTATTTCTGGATATAATATGTATGTATGTATGTATGTATGTATGTATGTATGTATGAGCCTTCCTTTCTTCGTGGTAAAGAATCCATCATATATGATATTCGCCACTAGAGTGGTGTCCAAGGCTCCAACCACTTAGGAGTTGTACTAATGACCCTTTTTACGGCTGTGTGGGCATACGCAAGTACGACGTGGACGCTGGCAGTGTAAATGCAAGTGAACTCTCTAGCGGGAAACTGTGAAAAGAGTTCAAGCATTCCTACTGTCTTGGCCGCCTTGCATAACTGTCAATCCCGAAATATTTGCATTTTGCCAACCAATCGCCTTCCCAGTTGCTCAAAGTCCTATGACTTAACAGTTCTACCAGTGCCACTCGCTCGCACCGGTACCTTCGGTGTTCCAAATGATCCACTGGCACACTTCAAATATTCCTATTCTTCTTGTTAGCACCATATGAAAACATTCGTCAATGCCATGCACTTGTTGTTATATCAAACTAGGGAACGATTCTCTTATGGGCTGCAAAACTTTAAGAGACTGAAATTAAAAACTTGTGTGTTGCTTCTACTAGTCTCCCCAGGGAAAATTAATGAACCCCATGCTAGAAGACTAGTTCTAAGTAAGCAAAGTTCAAAAGTAGAATGCTGTCAGATCTTACCACAAGACTAGAAATCCACTAATAAGCAAAGAAATCACATGCAGTGATTCCTCGAAAAAACGTCTAAATTTTGAAATTTCATAAAAAGGTTGCTTTCCAGTTCATTCACTGCTAATTCCTTTTCAGAGTTTCTTTCAGGTACACATTGGAAACCGTAACCTTGACTCGAAATCATTTCCAATGCAAAACAGGACGCATAAAGCGAAGCCAAATTTTTGGAATCTATTGATGCCTGCTTTGAAGAGTAATTTTTATTCCAAACGGAGCATTTCCTTTCCATATTCCGCAAACACGAGTGGTTTTTGGACTTGATGATTCCCTTACTCAAACAACTTTGCCTTCGACATTTTCAAATGCTTTTCTTGACTATATTGACATAACTTGAGTGGTTCAGTTACGACCATTCCAGAAGACATACATTTAACTTCAATCCTCTCTAATGCGGAATTTTTCCTCTTCTATGAACTCGGCTTTACTGTTTAGTTATTTAGTTATGAAAAGTAACTTGACGGTAATAGATAGATGGAACAAAACTACAAACTTCTACTCGGATTATTCTGATCAAACGAATCTTTTATCATATCTTTGTTCCTTAGGTTCTTCTTTGTCTATACTCATCCGTAGCTTCCCGTATAGTTTTAGGGCAGTTCCTACATCCTCAAACCAATTCGAATTAACACCCTGGTTGTAGGGCTGTGTAATAGAATGATTGGAATGCTATGCATTACCTGGGCGCTGCAGACAGTTTTTGCTCAATAGAGCCCAATCGAGCCGCAACTTCCAAAAACGCACGGAACCCTCCAATTGGTATGATTACTTGCAGCAGAAATGTTTGGTGGGTTCCTTAACTCATGGCACCCCAAGGGAAGATAGTATCTTACTAGCATTGCTAATTATCCTGCTATATTTAAAGAATTGATGTCAGAATGTTTGTTTATGCATATGTGTGTGTATGTGTGTGTGTGTGAGTGTGTGTATGTGTTTATGCGTGTGTGTGGGTTTGTATGTATAAGCGTGTGTCCGACCGGAAATCCGTAGCTCTTACGAACGAAAATAACAAGTATCGGTAGCATGGAGTCGTCACATAGGCACTACCAACCAGAGCGTTTTTCTAATTTTTGGATGTTTTTAGCTGAACTCTGAACACAAAATATTTTAGACACTTCTGCTATCCGTGGCATGAGGTGTCCACGGAATATAACATGCAAAGATTTTCGAAAAAGGTCCGTAAGCGAGCTCGAAAGACTGAAGCGTATATATAGATGTACTCAAATTATTTTCGTTTTGGAAATGGGTCAACCTCGTATCAGCTACCAGAACATTGTTTGAGCAGTCCTCTTAAAAATTTCCTGGTTTTCGCATGCTGATCTGAAAAAATTACCAACAATCTATTCTCAAAAGCTTAGTGCCTCTGGATGCTCGAAAAGATTTTAAGTAAATGCCGCCTGAATCCTCCCTGGGCCGGTACTAGTCTGGTTACCAAGGGTAGCATAAAGGTTTTAACTGAAATTTTCCGTTGATCACTTGTGACTAATTCACTCGCCTTGTACACTTTGATATGTTCCACTGCATACCGATGGTTGTTCAGACCTTTACGTGGCGATCCAGGTGGCATAGGTTGTTTTGAAACACGTAGTTTCACCTTCACATGTGACACTGAAATTTCGATTCAGTCAAATTCAATCAGAAAAAACTTTGCAATTCATTTTATGTTGAATAGACGTTTCTTCGAATAGTTTTGACATAGTATTCGATTCTCACAAGTACTCACCCCAATCAGCAGCGCAGAAAGACTCTTGGCTTGTCTGTGTTTTACATTTACAAGCATTACAAATATATAGCGAAACAGCGAGGCACACTACTAAAAAGGTGTTCATAACCTGTAATCAATCAATTGTTAAAAGGACCAAAGCAAAATCAGAGAAAAAACCTCGGGAATGAGTGGGATATGATGTGGGAGCTTAAGAAGGGCGATGAGTCAGACTACCAACTGAGAAAGCAGGAACTGTTTACAACAGAAATTTGGAAAAGATTACTACAAACTACTACTATGAAGCAAATCTGTACAACTAAAAAAAGGAACCTCCCAGTGTCGGCTAACTTTTTCAGGAGTTTTGAAACCAAATGAAAATCGATTCCTAGTCGGAAGGTCACAACTTGGTGGAGTGCCTGACACTTGAATGACTAACCAAGGTTGACCAAAGTCCAACTGACTCTTTTTTCCTCTCAGTCACCTCGTAACCAGTCATTTTACCCATTTGGTCGTGCTTACTGTCGCCCTTGCAGTATATAAATCTCTTCCCATTTCGTCAAAGTAACAAGACCCATCAAGGGAGCGACAGCGTAAGGGAAAACAGCGGTCGTTCCCAATTAAGCGAACTGTTTTGCCAAATTACAGCCTTAGGGGAATATGTCGTATTGGGAAGCTCTGTAGGAGTTCTATTCATGGATTCTAAAAAAATTCTAAAAGTGTGAAGAATAGTGTTAGTAAAACTAGTTGACACATTGAACATTTTGAGTGGGGTAAAGTCGCGATGTTGTGTAACAAACGGGCACAACAGGTTGGACGACCAACTAATGAATCATCAGCTGAGACGGGCGTATTTGCTAATTGTTTTGCTTACGAAATTGAAGAAAAATCAAAAACAAGTTAATAATTTGGCTGTAAATTGTGGTTGTACTTATAGCAGATGGAATAACGAAGAATAACAATGTGTTAGCCGAATTGTTTGCGTCTGTCATATTTTCTAGTGTCATACTATTCTGCAGCGGTCGTGCTAAAAGTGATTTTTCATCATACAATTATCTGAGCTGTTTCAAATTGCACCATCAATCCAAAAATTAGAAAAAGCTATATCAGTAGGATTGTGGAAGTTCTTCATTCCCTCCATTTACTTGATCCTATTTACATTTGACTTATTTACCCTTTGGAGCTAAAAATCCTAAGTCAAGGATATGACTAAAATTTAGCCAATGATGTAATCAATTAAAACTTCAGTCTCTGCAGCTGCTGTGGAATAGTATTGGCTATGCATTTTTATGCGAGAAATTATCGCCAAATGCTGAATAATGGACATTTTTATGCGAGAAATTATCGCCAAATGCTGAATAATGGATAGTTTCTTTGGTCTGCGATTTTCGCTAGCCAGAACGCTTGAACCACTCATTTTTGATAATTTCTCATTCCAGTAACGGTTTTCAAAAAAAATCAAGTGAGAGAAGTGAATTCCATCTTTTTTTCATTTTTTTTTTCAAAAACACTTCGAAGATTACATCTTACTTTCCGCTCATCAAAGTTTTCTGCCAAAATTAAGGCTTTAAAGATTTAAGTAAAGTGGAGGGGAATGCTCTAATTGTAAGTAAAATTTAGGATCACATTTGAACGTTCTTCGTAGGATAACCGACAAATGATGGAGAGAGGTAAACAGGATAGCGAGAGGTAACGTGTGGTGAAGCGCATCACTGAGACCGACCAATCCATCGTATGAGTAATTGGCGATTTCGTTCCGCTTGACAACACTCACCCGAAAACTCCCTGCCTGTAACCCATTAACGCTGATATCACACGTAAATTATCATTCAACAATAGTTCAGCTGAAAAGTATTGTCACTATTAAAAAGTATGATATACCCCAAATCTTTTCTTTATTTCTTCGACCGATTCTTGAATAACTTGAACTAAACTTTTCATATTGTTTCAACGATTTTGCAGCTTCCTTGCACACATCCTGATTGTTTGTTTTAGAATATCTTTATTGGTTCCAGGCGGATACGAACCTGGAATCGAATCAAAATCATTTTAGTATCCTCTTGAAAAAATTAGCTTTATTTGGTCATCGCAGAGTTGTGATTCAATCAGTGAACGAATCTTACGTCCCTACATATTTCACTTTTGAACATGAAAGGATGAAAGATCGAGTCTGTTGGCGTTAGGCATTCCCGTTCGAGGAAAGCGCCCACATTCGACTTCATTTAAAAATCGTAGGGGGCGTTTTGAATGCGTATGTGGCCTATACAATGACTTGTGGTGAACAGACAGTGTACAAGTCAGTGCTTTTATCCCCGGGCCAAGTCTGGTACCGACCCCGGATGCATGGAAAGCCTGGTTTGCTCACGCATATACCTATTCAGGGGTCGAACCCGTGACAATGTGTGTGTAATGTTCGAACATAGGCCCTCTACAATGATATGTAGGAAGGCATGGAAGGATTGTAGGATCTTCACTTACAATTGGTCTGCATAATCAACACCCAAGTCACCCTATCTGTGGCGGCAACATTGTAAAACATTCAACACGAACACCTTTGGGAAATTAAAATATTTGGTATTACAATGCTATTTGCCTTCTTTACCTATGGCCTTAAGGCACCACCCGTTTTACTAATTAAAACTAAATAAATATTAGGTCGTGAAGAAAGTTCTTGCGGTTTTGCGCCTCGAACTTCAAATGCATATATCTCGGCTTGAACGAAACTTCATCAATCGAAATAACAACCATTACTATCGACACACTTTTG